CTAACACATTGAGGAATTTAGATAAACAAGTTCCTTAAAAACTCAAGCTAACAAAACTGACATGCATGAAAGAGAAAATATGAATCCTTCTAAATAGTAAAGAAATAGAATCTACAATTGATAGCCTTCCCAGATGGGATTAAATTTTACTTTTGGATTTCCAGTACCAAGTAGAATGCCTGATGTATAACTCACATAATAACTAGTTGAATGGATAAATAAGTCTCTAGTATTGAAATATTCCTACTGTATTGCTAATATTTGTTTATATATCCTTCTCCCCTGTTAAACCACGGGCTTGAATGGAACATGGAGTCTTGGCTGTCTTTGTATCCCCAGCATCCAGCACCAGTGTTTATAACTGGTCAGTAAAGGTTTGTTGAATAATTGAATTAAAAAGGAAGAAAACTACTGTTTAGTGATTGTCTTTTATACACCAGGATCTATGAGAGGAACACTTACATAATTATCTTATTCTTTTTTTTTTTAAAGTTTTTATTTAAATTCCCTCCTGAGGCAAGGGAAACAAAAGCAAAAATAAACTATTGGTACTTCATCAAAATAAAAAGCTTCTGCACAGCAAAGGAAACAACCAACAAAACTGACAGGTAACCTATGGAATGGGAGAAGATATTTGCAAATGACATAACTGATAAAGGGTTAGTTCCAAAATATATAAAGAATTTGTACAACACAACACCCAAAATATGAATAATCCAATTAAAAAATGGGCAGAAGACATGAACAAATGTTTCTCCAAAGAAGACATACCAATGGCCAAAGACGCATGTAAAGATGCTCAACATCACTGATCATCAGGGAAATACAAGTCAAAACTACAATGAGATGTCATCTCACATCTGTCAGAATGGCTGAAACCAACAACACAAGAAACAACAGGTGTTGATGAGAATGTGAGGAAAGAGGAATCTTCCTATACTATTGGTGGGAATGCAAACTGGTATAACCACTGTGGAAAACAGTATGGAGGTTCCTCAAAAAGTTATCTTACTTATTCTTAACAATTCTTTTATGACAGGAATTTTTAGCCCCATGGAGGGACTACATCTGAAATAATTAACTTGCTCATGCTCAAAAGTGGCAGAGCCAGGATTGGAAGTATCTTCAAAGCCCATTTCTTTACACTAGTGCTTTCCAAACTGACTGTGTGTACCATAGGGGATACTCAATCAAGGAAGAAAATTTTAGAAATAACAAACCTGAGGGCGTCTGGGTGGCTCAGTTGGTTAAGCGACTGCCTTCAGCTCAGTTCATGATCCTGGAGTCCCTGGATCAAGTCCCGCATCGGGCTCGATATTTTATTTATTTATTTGAGAGAGAGAATGAGAGAGAGAGAGCACATGAGAGGGGGGAGGGTCAGAGGGAGAAGCAGACTCCCCGCCGAGCAGGGAGCCCGACGCGGGACTCGATCCCGGGACTCCAGGATCATGACCTGAGCCGAAGGCAGTCGCTTAACCAACTGAGCCACCCAGGCGCCCAATAAATAAAATCTTTAAAAAAAAAAAAAAGAAATAACAAACTTGGAATGGGAGTTTGAGATAATAATTTGAGGTCATATGCTTCAGCTTTTTTATCTAGTACATTTACCATTAAGAAAATATCTATAAATTGCTTAAACTTTATAAAAGTTTAGCAAAACTAATACTGAGAAATTAGGTCCAAGGGTAATAAGGTTTTCTATATTCTGAATAAAGGCATCTTGGTTTCTACTCTCCCTCAAATATTTTGATTCTTATCTAGTACTTTATATACATTCTTTATAAATGGTATATTCTAAATACCAACAAAAAAAATGTAGCTACCACTTTTCATGCAAAATTGTGAAATTAGCCAGTAGCTTCTTAAGAATGGCTTTCTATGCTATCTTTGTTCCAAATTTCATTTGGAAATGTGAACTGTCAGCTATGTTTTCCTAAGACTGTTAACTAAAATTATGTAGTGGCGATAAAAAAATTCCAAGTTGTATCTGGCATTTCTAAGATGAAGACCAAAAGGAGAGCTTATGGAGTTTATTTATTTTTTAAGATTTTATTTATTTAGGGGCACCTGGGTGGCTCAGTTCGTTAAGCAACTGCCTTCGGCTCACGTCATGATCCTGGTGTCCCTGGATCGAGTCCCGCATCGGGCTCCCTGCTTGGCAGGGAGTCTACTTCTCCCTCTGACCCTCCCCCCTCTCATGTGCTCTCTCTCATTCTCTCTCTCTCAAATAAATAAATAAAAATTTTTAAAAAGATTTTATTTATTTATTTGAGAGAGAAAGAACAAGCATGAGTAGGGGGGAGGAGAAAAAGGGATGAGAAGAATCCCTGCTGAGCCCGAAACAGGGCTCAATCCCAGGAGTCCGAGATCTTGACCCTAGCTGAAGTCACATGCTTAACTGACTAAGCCACCCAGGTGCCCTGAGTTTATGGAATTTATTGAAGCTTATAATTTTTATGTTATGGATTCCAAGTACATGCATAGGGGTGGTTTTTAAATATGGAAAATGAGAGATTAAAATTTGGCTTACAAATTGTGATGTGACCTTGGTAAATTATTAATAGATGAAAATTCTTTCATTGCTTTCCAGCATATATCTACACTATGCTTTTCTTTATAAATTTTATTTCATTTATTTCATTAATTCATAATGTAAAAATCATCCTTGTTCAGAGGATCATGATAAGTGTGAAAAAAATTTTAAATGACATTAAAAAGTGTGCAATGAAGTATGACACAGAACTTCTCAAAATCTGGCACTTTTTGACAGTCATCTTTTATTTAAATTAAGTTATTCTTGTAGCATCATCTGGAGGTAATTTTATTGACTTTGAAATTCTTTTAGAAGATTATGCTTCTAGTGACTCAGATATTTCTCTGGTATCTGTTTTTTATGTAAAGAGCTTTGTGGAAGTTTCAATAATGAGCATTGTACTCTAAGAAAATAACACAAATTCTGGAGCTGCTATAAACCATCTCATGAAAAGACAAACCTAAAATGAACTAAAATAAAATGTGTAAATCAAGACTAGTTATTGTTCAATCTAGTTTAGAATATTTATTTTGCCTTGAGCAAAATGTGACTCCCTGGGACAGGAACAATTTTTAATTAGGTAGAATTAGCCTTCAGTGAGCTGTGCTTCATTTTATTACATACCTTTTTCCTACTCCATCCTGCCTCTCATACTTTGTGTCTTAATAAGCATATAGAGGTGAAAGTATTTTATAAATCTCTGACTTTGTCATGTGAATAGTTTGCTGAGTTAACCCATCTAGGTTAGTCTGGGTTGTTATAACAGAATACCATAGGCTGGGTGGCTTAAACGTTTATTTCTAAAAGTTCTAGATCAGCGTGCCAGCAGGGGCAGGTTCTTAGGGAAGGTCCTTTTCCTGTTTGCAGGAGGTCATCTTCTCATTGTATCTTCACCTGGTAGAGACCGGAGAGAGGAACCAACCTGTCTGTGTCTCTTCTTACAAGGGCACTAATCCCATCATGAGGGCTCCACCCCTCATGACCTAATTACCTCCCAGTGGCTCCATCTCCAAATATCATCACATTGGGGATTAGGATTTTCAACATGTGAATTTTGGAACGGACACAAACATTCAGCCCATAGCATAACTCTCCCAGAATATTCATATTTTAAAAGGGAAGCTTTGTATGAAGAATTTTAAAGGGATTTTTTTTTTTCTAGAATCTTCCCGATATTCCTTAGTCAGATCATGTCTTACTCTCTCATAGCACATTACCTACTCTACCTAGGTTAAGATCAGCCTTATCTAGGAACAACTTAACTCTTCTGCAGGAAGGGTAGATCTTTGAAAAGAAACCACAATAATGACTTATTGGTAATTATAGAGGATTGATTGTCATGGTAACTTGTAATTAGGAGATGTGCCCAAGGGGAGGCCTGATTTAGTCTGATTAATACAGTTGAATAGAGTAAAATGCCTACCAAGGATGGGAAGCCTGAAAAATGTGGCTGAGAAGGGGTGAAAATTAAGTGGACAGAATGTTTTTTAAGGACTTAACAGCAGGAAGGCAGTTGGGAGCTATTGTTGTATGAAGGCCCTGCATGCCTTGAAAAGCATGTCTTGCCCCTGTAACTGAGAAATATTGAGTGAATTTTCACATAAAGTAAAGGCACTTGAAAGTTTATTTCTTTTGATATTCTAGGAATAGTAGATCAAAGAGAAGTTACAAGAATGGAAGGGTAAGAAGTAGTTACTGAAAAATCCAGTTATCACTTTATGACTAATCTTTTTTGTTGATTAAGGAAGAATTTGTTTGTATCACTGTTGTCCAGGAGAATCCAACTTTAAATCTCTCTGTTATAAACAGCATTCCTCAAATCATGAACCCATCCCATCAGCCATCAGACATTATACAGATAGTGCTTTGACAATGACTCACATTCTAAGGGAAGAAATCAGGGTCTTGTAAAATTTAAGTAGAGATGTTAGTTAGACTGTAGAAAGTAATTGAGCTGATTAAAAAAATGAGTTAACAGAAATGTGTCAGAACCCTTAAAATAGGAAAATTTGCAGCTACTATGAAATGGGACACGGCCTAGTCCCATTAGTTATTAGTTTTCTTTCAGTTTACAGTTAATTTTTAAAAAAGTGTTGGACTAAAGAATAAATACAGATGTTGCCAGGCCCAAGACTGGACAATTATACTATCTTTAGACATATGGAATGAAGTCACAGCTGGAATCAGCTTCTTTTTGTGTTTTTCTATAAAAAGGATTTGAAGATTTTGAAATAGTGTCAGAAAGATGGAAGACTGAGTTCCAGGGGCACACATACTATGCTAAATTGGCATTGCTAATTAGAGGCAAATTGGCAATGAACTTATTTTAGTCTGTTTGTTCTTACAGTAAAGTTTTTCATTTGTCAGCAGAATTCTGTGCTATGATCAGGAGTAGTAAGATATGACTTCGCAAAGATTGACTATGGCAATCTGGATGTAACTAGTATACAGCTTTTTTCTTTTACAGATAGATGTGGCATCTCCTTGATTAATTACCCTTGCCTGGTGATGACAGTACTCTCAGAGTAGCTGCTTAAGCTGCCCAGGTGACTGGATCATTCATCACTAAACTAAATCCAAAGAGAAGATGCTGAACAAGGCTTCCAAGCAGGGTTAGTAAATAGGTGGTCCTTCAAATGATTCCTTGTACCGTGGGCCGTGTGGTAAGTGTGATTGCTGTGCCTCTGACTCCTAATACAACTGCAGTAAATTCTTTTTTTTTTTTAGATTTTATTTATTTTTTTGAGAGAAAGAGAGCACGAGAGAGAGCAGAAGGGGGCGGGTAGAGGGGCAGAGGGAGAAGCAGACTCCCCTGCTGAGCAGGGAGCCTGATGTGGGGCTTAATCCCAGGACCCTGGAGATCATGACCTGAGCTGAAGGCAGATGCTTAACCAACTGAGCCACCCAGGAGCCCCAGTAAATTCTTATTCTGTCTTACCCCTTCCTCCTTCTCCTCTGCTGTAAGGCTGGGTCCAAGCTGTTTGCAGGCTGGGACTGATGGATGGAGGGAAGCCATTTCTACTGGTAATAGGTAGATGATTTGCTTCTTTAGATCAGGGGATGTGAAAGCACATTTGTCCTATAAAGTCAGAGGAAGGTGGAAGACATATTCTTTACTGCTAGAGGTAGGGAAATGTCTGATTTTGCTTTAAGAGTTAGGGAAGAGTGACAGATAATCATTTGATATGAATGTGAAAGTTTGGGACAATTAGGGGCACAGGAGACATAACTGCCCCTATAGAGGATAAGGTCAAAGTCAGTGTGACATTTTTAAGGAAGTATTTCTTGAATGCTGTACACATATTCCCAGTTGTTCTGGTTGAATCCAGGATCTATCAACAAAGTTGTAAAGATGTCTGTTCTTAGGACTGCACTGGTGGTTTTTTACATACCATAGTTTTCTTTTCTAGGTTTATGTGGAATTTTGAGTTGTTAAATTAAGCTCAATGTCTAAAATTTTAAGATATTTTATAACTGGATACATAAAAGTGAAAATAGTTCTGTACATTTCAATATTAAATTTGCTCAAATTACTTTTAAAATAGTGGGAATAAAGGAACATTATCATGTATTAACATGGCAAAGAGATGTTTTAATAAAGGGTAAACTAGTATCTCAGCTAAACATTAATAACTTACATAGACTGGTTACCTACTGGGAACACTATTTCAATATGATGTCAAACTCAGTAGTGATAGTAAGATGCATAACTGATGTGGGGAAAACATATCCATTTAAATCAAAAGAACTAGTGGCCAATTAGCAACATCAAAAGCAACAAATTAAATGATTTTAGCATGTAGAATGAGCTACTGTGATCTAAGTCCTTTTAAAAACAAGTTTTAATATTCTTTTTTTTTTACAGTCCAGAAATAAGACACTTAATGAGTGTACCTAAAAAGGCTTTATAAATTCATCTTTTCAGGACTGACAACTTTGTTCTTTATCCTAGTGGAAGAAGTCTGGTGGATGCCCTCTGAGAAGAGTATATGTAATATATCAGATAATTAGTTCCTATTCCTAAAAACGAATGGAGAATACATTACACTTTGCACATCACCTGATCTGAGACACTAGATTGCTCTTTTGTTCATATTATTACCATGCTCAAATTGGTTCTACAGGGTGACTACAATAAGGCTTTACCTAAGGAACTGGCAAATTAGTTTTTTTTTTTTTTAAGATTTTATTTATTTATTTGACAGAGACACAGCGAAAGAGGGAACACAAGCAGGGGGAGTGGGAGAGGGAGAAGCAGGCTTCTCAGGGAGCAGGGAGCCCGATGCGGGGCTCGATCCTAGGACCCTGGGATCATGACCTGAGCCGAAGACAGACGCTTAATGACTGAGCCACCCAGGCGGCCCGCAAATTAGTTTTTTTTTAAAGATTTTTATTTATTTATTTGAGAGAGAGAGAGAGAGAAAGCATGAGCAGGGGGAGGGGCAGAGGGACAAGCTGAGCAGGGAGCCCAAAGCGGGGCTCGTTCCCAGGACCCTGGGATCATGACCTGAGCCATAGGCAGATACTCAACCAACTGAGCCACCCAGGCGCCCCTAATTTCTTTTATTTAATAGGAGCAATGGGTTTTCATTTTAAGTTTGTCAGAATTAGGTGGAAACCATAGCCATAAGTCAGAGATGTTCTCCATGATTCCCGCTTCTATACAGCCCAGGAACCTGTGCAGCTCTAATACTAAGCTGAATTCCCCATGTCAGTTAGATGTTGTTCATGGAACACAGGGTTAGGAGATATCCTACCCTCCTAACTAATTTCTGATCTGAATCACAATGCGATCCCAAGAGATCCAGCCAAATTTGAGTCTCAGACCATTTGTTTCTTTTAAAGGAGTGTTATTGCTTTAGATACATTTCAGAAATAAGTAATTTTTAAAAGTCTTTGAAAACAGCAAGCACCAAATTTCCCTGCTTAATGACTTACCTTTGAAGCCTACTTTAATAAACTTGCACTTAAACTAAACAAACCTAATGACCAAAAGGAGTAGTTTATTATTTTAAGAAATTAGCTCCAATTATTAGAGAAAGCATCTCATCCCAAGGTAACAATTTCAGAGCATGAAAATAGTTCAGTGTTAATGAATTCCAAAAATAAATTACTGATGCCTTGCTAATTTGTTGTAAGTGGCTCAATTTGCTAAATAAATCAGGGAAATGGCTTCTACTTACTGACTACCTATTCTTACCTTTGATGTTTTATTTTCTTGTATTTGGTTACACTATAAAGTGAAGGCCACAGTTGGGAACTCATTATTAAGATCATTAAACAACCTGGGACACATGTGAGCATAGCCCATACCACATGTTCTTGAGACCTTCGAGATAGGGTGACCACTGTGTTTAGTTAACTTATCCCAACTTTTTTTTATTTTTTATTTTTATTTTTTATTTATTTGACAGGGAGAAACACAGCGAGAGAGGGAACACAAGCCGGGGGAGTGGGAGAGAGAGAAGCAGGCTTCCCGCTGAGCAGGGAGCCCCATGCGGGGCTCGATCCCAGGACCCTGGGACCATGACCCGAGCCGAAGGCAGACGCCCAACGACTGAGCCACCCAGGTGCCCCTATCCCAACTTTTTATTCCTGGCTTATCTTTGTGTGTAGCCCTTACCCTATCACTATTTTCCTCCCTCTATCCTCCTCCTATCCCATTGCTAGGCACCAGCAGCCAGATTTGATTTGATTCACATTAATTCTAACTTGGTCTGTTCTTTAGGGGCCTTTTCCTCTATCAGGCTGTGTAGGCAGTCAAGCTTACCTTTATTCTTTGATCCTGAAGAAATTTTGCCAACATTTGGTAGTTTCAATCATCCTGACTTTATTTATTAAATATAAGTATTTTAATTATTAGATCTGTTTTTGTCTTTGCAAACCTTTTTGGTGACTCTTGAGTCATATCACATGGATGTGTTCTAGTGTGACCGTGAATGTCTTGGTTTGAAGGTCCGAACCATCTGGGTGTATGCTGTTGTGGTTTGTGCTGGTGAGCTCCTGGGCCTGGTGTTGCTAAGATGGTGAGTCTGTAGTTAAACACAGAGTCATCCTCTAGGGACCCATTTTAAAACATTCTTCTCTCTTTAGGCAATGTTATAGGCTGGATTTACCAGATTTTGGGTAGGCCCTAGAGATCCAAGAGGTTTATAAGCACTTGTGTCTGTTCCAGGGCTCAGTCATCTTGTTCATTAGAAAGATAGACTAGTGTGCCTCCACTGACTAATGTGTTTTCACAATTCAAAATGCTTCATGATGTTTCCACGTTTTATGAAATTTACTGAAGCACAAAATGTGTTGATGGACTCTTACTTCTTGATGCAGTAATAGCTTCCTTCCAGTCTTTAGATATATTTAGATTTACTAAAAACTCATTAATGCCAGCAGGTCATTAGAAGTTAACATTTCTCACTGTAGTGATACTCAGTTTGAATTGGAATAACGTTTGTTTTCATCAGTGATCCAATTGCTAATTGTTGTGTGCTTGAGGTGTGGGGATTAGGAGCTTTAAGTGATCATATTTTCTTTTCCTGAGAATACAAGAATAAGCAATAATGTCACAACCCCTTTACAAATTTCAAATAGATCATACATATGGTTGTAAAGCCAAATTGCATTTTTTTCCAATTTAAAATTTATAGAATGATTCTAGACTGAAAATTGGACCGACAACATGGATTTGAGCATTCTAAAGACACTAGCACAGATAAAGTCTCTGAGGAACAATGTAAAAATATCTTGGAAAAAATTCCTAGAATCTTTATCATTCGTCCATAATAAAAAGTTCTTTTTTTTAGTATAATGAATAAAATGTGTCCCCATATTTGTGTATCCATATTTCTCTCTGAATCTTACTTCCTCAAAGCAATTTCTTAAAAATTCCTAAAATAATATAGAACTATCATAGAATCATAGAATATGAGAACCAGAAGATATCTGATTTACAATATTTAATCATTGCTGTTCAAGATAGCCTGAGGGAGATAGGATGTTAGGAATTCTTCAGTGGTTCTTCCATTAGCATTTCCTGGAATCAGGAATTGTGGAAAGCACTGGGGATAATATGCTCTGCTGATTAGGTAGGATCAGTGCCTACAACATAAAAGGACTTAGAAAAAATGTTTGCAGAATGAATGAATGAATGAATGGAGGAGAGGAAATATACTGGATGGACTGAAGTGCTACTCTCTGCTCAGCATTACTACTACTTAATGTTATGAAAACAAAAGGAACATAATTCCCTTTCAGTTTGTGAATGCAGTAAGCTCTTAGTTCCTAATTTTATTTTTCTCCTCCTTTAAACCTATTTGCCTACAATCTATTTTTTTTTTACATAACAGTGATCTTTCAAAAACCATAAATCATATGCTATCCTATTTCTGCTTTAAAATCTTCTGACTTCTCAATGCATTTAGTACAAAAATTCAACCATTTATCACAACCTACAAGTACATGCTTGCCCACTTATCCATTCTCATGCCCCATAGCTCTTTTTCTCTCACACTGCACACTAGTCACATTGACCCTCTTTCTCTTCATAGTTTCCAACTCAGGACTGTTGAACTGACTATTCTCTAGACCCGAGAGGCATATCTTCACATACCTGGCT